TTTAGTATTTGTCTCCTATTTATTTGTTTTCCATCACTTTTATCCTCCATATCCTGTGTAATGCATGAAAGCTGTAACAAATTACATTTCTGAAGGGATGAGTGATTCCTGGCGTTAGGAAAGCTCCAGCAGGAAGGGGGTAAACAGAATTTATGGTGCCTGAGAGCACTGTCCCAGAGGGCTCAGCCTGATCCCCTTTCTTCAGTCATCTGCCTTTTATAGCCACTGCTCCTTGAGATCAGGAACCACAGAAAACTTGGCATGGAATAAGGAAATGCTTCAAATTAACCACTCTGTACCTGAGTAGAAACAAACAGGGAAAATAAGGGTTTAGGGTTTTTTGCAGGAGAGAAACAAGGAAAGGATGGGGGGAAAGGAGGTTAACACTGAAGTTGGGGAGAAATACTGGGACTTACTGGGAAAGTAAAGAAAAGCTGTTCATTAAGTGAAGGTGGATACCAACTTAAGGAGAAATCTTTAGGTCCTAAAATTAACAGTATTTATTACTTGAATGTAGAAGATACCATTTCAATTAAATTTCTACTTTCTGTGCTGTTGTGTGGTAAAACATTGTTTGTACTTGATCTGTTGATTCAATTCCTTTTATGAGAGTTGAGTTTTATGATGTTAGGCCACTGGGGGGAAAAAGGAAGATATTCATGGGGTACTTGGTATTCTTTAAAAGAAGACTTTAGAGATGGTCTAATTCCCAACACGTGGAATGTCTCCAAACAAATTTCTGCTTCCATAGTGTCAGGAAAATTAAACAGTCTATCTCCCTTCCTCTGCCCTTCCCTGCCCTTCCTCTATCTCTTCCGGCTCCCCCCTCACCCACTGCCTCAATTTTGTGCCTGGCCAGGCTCCTTGCTGGCAGCAATCTGTGCTGCCATATGAAAGAGCACCATTTGATTTTCCCCAGTCTCTCAGCCCTCACTTCCCTTCCTGGAGTCTGGCAGAGCCCCTGGCAGTGCCAGTGCAGCATTCCAAGCCTTCCAAGGCATAGGATGAGCCTACTTGGTTCATTATGGAGCACAATTCTTTCGAGGTTTGCATTTGAAGTAAACGGTCTGCAAGGCCATGGCTGGCAAACAACCAAAGTGGGAACAATTGAAAAAGAATTATCTCACCTCCTTATCTCTGTTGTAGTTACAAAATTGAACATCAATTTTTACCTCCTTTTTCCAGGCAAGTTTAACTCTTTTCCAGTGCTGCACATACCCCTGGAGAACAAATGTTAATTGATGGGGCATCTCAGTAATTTCTGTACACTGTGAAGAAGGAGTTAATTAGCCCATTCTTTCTGCACAAGCACAACTTAATTAACTAATTAACTAATTATCAGCTTTTTCTTGCAGTGTAGTTCAGCAGTGATTTTTTTGATTAAAACAGGAGATAGCAGTAGGGAATCTCAACCATCTGTAGATCCAAGTTACTGTGTGATGTTAAAATGAGGATAGAGAATAAAATATGAAGCCTTTAGGTTGTTAAGGTCATAATTTCTTTAAAAAGATTTTTAGTCATGCCTGTTAAGGATTTGTTCTTTCTTTAAATATTATTTTTATATAAAACTATTAAATGAAGACTACTCAGTCTAAAGTCATGACTGAAATTACATTCTAAGCAACACTTGGCATGCACAAAACTTAAATTGTATTTGGAAAATGGTCTTGGGGCAGAGCAAGCAACATGAAATTTCTTACATTTTAAGAATTATTGTGGAGCCTGACACAGCTGAAGTGAGTGCTCCTGCAGTGCGTTTAATATTCTGCACTTTGGGGAACAATGCTTCAGCCTCTTAATTACACAAGTAGGAAGTAGTGATTTGTTTTTACATTTGGGGAGTTGTCAGAGCAATGAAAACATGCTGATGAGACACTTCTAAACTGTAATTTATTGCTGTGCTAAGTAGGAAGAAATGTCACTAGAGGAGTAGGTTTCAGAAGCAGAAAACTAATGTGCATGAAACTTTTTTTGCAGCTTAATTGTAGCCAGCAAGTTTCATCCCACCCCCTTGTTACTTTCTTTATTGGAATTTGTTGCTCCTTCGAGGCCTTTTGTTGTCTACTGCCAATATAAAGAGGTAAATCAGGATGTTACTTCAGCTGTTACAGTTCAAGCCTGGTGCCATTCTGCTGTGTAACCCCCTCTTTGGTTTTTCTCAGCCATTATTGGAATGTTACACCAAGCTGAGAGAAAGAGGTGGAGTCATCAACCTGAAACTGTCTGAAACCTGGCTACGGAACTACCAGGTAAGGATGGCAGCACGGGGCTGCCAAAACCATGGGAATTCTGGGGAGTAAAACATTCCCTGAAGATAGGGGAGAGGTTGGACTGACTGAAACAATATGTAAGCTCCGGCATTTGCTCTACCCTAGAGTTGTGGGTATTCTGAAGAGCTTTTATGCTTTACTGTAGCAATTTCCAATGGAAAGACTTTACTTCCTTGCATTTTATTAAACATTTGCTGAAATATTTGTAGGAAAGTGATGGGGTTAATAAATAATTCCTAGATGTCTACCGGGGTCCTGTGTCCAGCTGCAGAGAGAACAGCACCGCAGTGTCCTGGACAAAAGTAAAACCTCTGCAACCTGCAGTGATAGTTGGAGCAAGGAGGAGGCACAGCTGAAAAGAGAATCCTTACGAAAAGGTGTGATGTGGCTGAAAGAGATGGCTCAGTGCTGTGTCGGACCCTAAGGGTGGCTGCAGAAAGGTGACAGGGACAGAACTGGATATTACAGAATCCCTTCAGGCTGGTTTTGCAGCAGCTGTGGTTTCTTGCAGAGTACCTCACTTCTGAGCACATCATGGCACTTTCATGGGTCTCAAACCTTGGCTTTTTAATTTTGCTGGCCATGCCATGAAGAGGTAACCAGTGAGGTAGCAGCCTGTATAATTATGGATTTCTACAACTGGATTCTCCTCTGCAGATACTTTTAAGATGAATACACTTCCAAAATGGTTGTCTTTTGTTGTGGCTGAGAAGAAAAATGTATATCCTATCCTGTAGACTGAAATTACACAGTATGATGTGCACACAGAGAGTGGATTGTTACAGGTGCTGGTTGTGGTGTTTTGTTGTTGTTTGTTTTAAAGGTTTTACCAGACCGCAGCCATCCCAAGCTGACCATGAGTGGAGGTGGAGGGTACCTCCTGTCTGGCATCACTGTCGTCTTGGAGAAGGGCAAATCTGATTCCAGTAACTCAGAAGCACTAAAGATGGAGGAGCCATCTTCTAAAAGATGCAAACTTCAAGACCTTCCTTGTTAACACCTGGAGGACTGACTAGTGGTTTAGATCTCAGTTTAGTGAAGTAAGTCCTTTCTGTGCTGTTGGCAGCACAGGGCTGTGCCTGTCAGCATCTGTCAGAGGAAGCAGAAGAACTGCAGAGGGAGGGAGGACTGTCCTGCTCCTTAGCAGTTCACATCAGCCGAATGTCAGGGAAAACCCTTGGGAACAAACATCCCACTGAACTCACAGGAACTTGAAGAAGGAGAGAAGATCAAGAGAAGACAAAGCCTCAGTGCAGGCATGTTGTTTGTTTGTTGCCAAATCTGAATAGGAGGTAGTTTCTTAAATGGTTGTGTCAGAACCAACACATCGAACTTAGTTTTCCATTCTCCCAGAAAGGCATCAGAGGATTCTCCTCAGGATTCCACATGGTGATCTGCTCCCACTTGGGACACAGAACTCTGCTCTGTTCAGTAATTTAAGAAAGTAGAATGAACAGCAAAAATCATACACTTTTTTTCCCAAAGGAACAACTAAAAAGAGAAATCTAATAGTAGAGATGACCCCATGCTTACAGCATGACATGTTTTCTTGAAATAAATACAGATGAGAAAGTGCATGTTATTTAAATATTTAGTATTTTAATTTAACAATGTTACTATTAGTATTGCCTATTATTTTCCAAGACATATTCTGAGAGTTGCTGTATGTTTTTAAGACATTACTATTTTGAAAAGTGCTGTATGTATATTTATTTATTCTACTGTTGGATCTTTCAGATGTTGGGCTTTTTTAATTAATTTTTTTAAACTTTGCATTTGCCATTTTAATTAAAATACAGGGTGTTTTCCCTGAAGAGATTTATCTTCTTTTTCTTACTTTTCCTCTTTTTGGAAATAAAAAGGTCCAGCACTGGCTTTAGGAGGACAATATTCTGCTGGCTTCACCCCATCACACCCCCAGTGGGAGCTCATAGGGCAGGAGGGCTTGGCTTCCATTCTGGAACTCCCTCATCAGTGTCTGGACTAACTGGACAGAACCTGGAGCTTAGGGATCAAGTGCTGAGACTTGATAAAGGTGTAAAATTCAGTATTTTGACAAGAGTAATGCTCTTTCAGGGCAGTATTAGCTCAAAATGGGTTGTATTTCATGGAAAGAAGCAGATAAAGGTTTCTCTTGGGAAAACTGGTGCACTATGGCTTCAGGTTTTATCTACCTCTGCTTTTTCTAAACTTCCCAGTGTTGTTTTTCTACTTTTTGGGAAGTTTCTCTTCTCTCTTGTCTTTTCCTCCGTATGTGAACAACTCAGAAAAGGAGAGGGCATAGATCTCACCATTTCTTCATTCTAGATGGCTGCTTATCCTAGATACTATGTCAATAAAAACAATAACATGGGAAAAACATATTTGCATAATAGATCAGTTTGAGAAATAAACAGTGTTGGAACATGCGACAAGTTAATTTGGATCAAAACCAAACTGACTTCATTTCACCAGCAGTGACACTGACACGGTCTCAACACTGAATTCCAGTTTTTAAATGTGCCATTATCCTTGTAAAGTGCAGTGAAAATGAGTAAGGAAACGAGAAAAATCATTACTGAGATTTCAAATTCCTTCTTCCCTCTCATGCTCATGCAAACTGGCAAACAAAATGCACAGATGGGCTCCGTGTAACTTTCAAAAGAGATTGGTGGAGCATCTCTATTTTATGCACAATCTGCACTCCTCATCCGGCTCACTCTGAGATCACCCACATGAACAAGGAGAAGGTTTGGTCCAAGATCAATGATTTTTATTATTGCAAACTCAAATATATTCCTGAAGAACACTAACACAATTATCTCCAAAAGCATATTAAAAATACCTGCCCACATGAAAGGTTATATTACTAAAATTCATGCCATTCAGGTCTCAGGAGCATAACAGCAAATTAAAGACACTTTGAGCTGTGTAAATCACTACACGAGAATGGACAGTGAATAGAATTTCCTGGGTTTAGGGCAAACAATCCAGGGGCAGTGAATTTACCACAGAACACAGGTATTACAAGGACACCTTCAGCCTCTCCTGAGGCTGTTAATCTTCTCTGCTATGTTCTGCAGCTCCAGATCCATGGTGGCCAAGTTTTCCAGCTGCTTTTCCTGTGAAAACAGAGTTTTCCACATCATTAACACTGGCAAATGTTTTGTTCCATGGAAAGGAGAGGAAAGGCCATTTCTAAGGCAGATTCTGTCCTGCCACTTCCCAGTCCCTGAGCAGAGCAGGTGTTAACAGCAGTGCTGCTCAGTCTTGGAAGATTGGTGAAATTCCCTGCTTTGGACTGAATGGAAGCTGGGGAAAGCATCAAAATTTTAATTCTGAGAGCTGGCCCTAATTACAGTCTCATCTTTGTATATTTATAGCACCCTTATCCAGTGGTGGCTTCCTGCCATGTCACAGCTGCAGGTGCTAGCCCTGGGGCTCAGGTGAGGGTCCCTGGGAAGTCCCACAGCAAGCAGAGTGCAGCAAGGGCACCAGAGAGCAGGAGAAGTTTTATGCAGCCAATGTTTTACCATGATGACTTTTTAACGCCAATTAACATCTGTATAAATCAGTGTCCAATCTCCACTGCTCCCAGCACAGCTTTGGGCAATGCACAGACACAGTGACACACGAGAAGGATGTGGCTGATGGCAGCTAAATGATGAGCGTAGGCTCAGTTTTTCCGGATATAGGAGCAGAACAGGAAGTCCAATTAAAAAAAAAAAACAAAAAAACCCGAGGATTTACTACATGTGAACTATGCAAATGAATTGGACTTACAGGTGCAATGCAGGTTCTGCTCTGCAATTCCAGCTGGGAAGTCCATGGGCAGCTGATTTCCCTCTAAACACCCAACTCACTTTTCAGCTCTGTGTTTTAAACAACCCAACAGCCCAAGTGGTGCTTGTCAGTTCCCCCTCTGCTCCTGCTGCAATGGCACCTTTGTTTTGTCAGTCTATAGAGCCTCAGGGGAGAGGCAGGGCCCAAAGAGGAATAAAATCTTTCCCTTCCTGCCTTGCAGCAGACAGGAGCTGTCGTCTTCCCACAAACTGTGCCCTGGGATAGTTCAGCAAACTTAAAGTTCCACTGTTCAAAGAAAGCAGATTTTTAAATCACTGAAGATCTACTCTCAGAATGTGACTTAATCTTATTTGTGTTTTTCTATGCGCAGTTTCCCAGCTGCCTTGGGAATGGATTTGGACGTGTGCTTCCCCCAGCTTTTCAAAGAAACTATGCACTTACCTCCTCTTCTGTGAGGGGCCTCTGGCTTAGGCTCCTTCTGTCATTCCCAGCTACGTGATGTTTCTTCAGGTCTTCTCCAGAGCTGTACAGCTCTGGGAGTTCAGCTGACTTCTTCCTGTAGTTCAGAAGTTGTGCAAGTTGATCCATCTTCTTGTACTGCCTTTCCACATCGTACCTGTTTGTTTTGCCAGGATTCCTCTTCGCGGTGTGCCCATGGTTCAAAGCGCTCTGGATTTGCTTTTCTGACCAGCGCTCATAGTCACTGTATTCAGGGAAAATACTCTTCTCACTCAGAGCAGGCCTGCCTTCTGCCCTGCCCTCCAGAAGCTGCTCCCCTGCACCATCCCTTTTGTCCAAGTGCCGACTTTTCCACCACAGCAGTGGGTAGAAAGGCCTGTAGGGTGCTGCAGTTCTCTTCTCTTTCTCTGCAGGGAGATGGCCTCTGTACTCTTCTCGCTCTGCAAATCTTTCCTTCTCTTCATTTTCCACCTGATCACTGCTGTGATGCTTCTTTTCCACTTCCTCCTCCTCTTCCAGGCTGTCCTCAGTGCTGTAGTGCCTCCTGGCCTGCCCCTGGTGCTCTTGAGCATAGGCCCTTTGTGACCCTTCCTCTTCCCTGTTCCCTGAGTGGGATTTCCCTCCCAGACGCCGCTGCTTTTCCTTGCTGAGATACCTGTCCATCTCTTCCTCATTTTCATCAGCAAGGTACATCCTCCCCTCAGAACTCTGTGATCCATCATGGTGCCTCCTCTCCTCAGGCCATTTCTCACTGCGGTGACGCCTCTTGTTTTCCTCTTCCCTGCTCTCCTGGCTCTGCTGCCAGCTGTCCCTGTGCTCCTCACTGCCCTGCTCTGCAGGCCTCTCCTCCTGCAGCTCCTCAGGCCCACGCCTCCCAGGAGAGCCACTCTTCTCCTCAGACTCTTCCTGATGTTTCTGACCATGCTTCCACTGCTCCCAGAGATTGGTCTCCCTTAGGTGTGATACCCCAGCTGGCTCCCCCCTCTCACCACCGTGGCCTCTCTTCTCTACATAGGAGTCACCCGCTCTGTGCTTCCCATGAGAACCTTTTGGTTTGTAGGGTTCCTTTCCCTCCTCTCTTTCTTCACTCTCCTCAGATTCTTCATGCTCCTGCTGGTTGGAGAAACCACGTTCCTGAGACTCATGGTGGTATTTCTCACTCCTTTCTCCCTCTCCCTCTTCACCTTCCCGAATTTGTTTGTAAGGGCTCTGCATTCCCTCCTCCAGGTGCCAGTGGCCCCTGGGGCTCTGATAACTCCCACCACGCAACTCATCCATGTTCATGCCCTCAGAGTGGGACTTCTTGGTGAGAACAGCAGCCTCTACATCTTCACAACACTTGCTGTCTTTGCTTTCCTCTTCACTGTGGTAATTCCTCTCCTCCTCTCTCCCAGTTTCCTGGTAGTACTTTTTTTCTTCCATGTGAAGTGTCTCATCCTGAGCAGGTGTGTGGTGTCCGGCCTCCTCTTCCTTGCTTTTGCCTTCCTTGCTCGTGAGAGCAAGTTTCTCATCACCTCCTTCCATGTACTTTTTAGATTCCTCTTCTGCCTGCCTTTGTTCTTCCTCCACGCTCTCAGTAGGATGTTTTTCGGTCTCTGCTGGGTCTTTGGAATGCCTAACTTCATGCTGTTTGTTTTCACTTCTCTCTCTGTCATTTTTATCACCTACAATAACAAAAGCAACATCATAGAATAATCCAACCCTCCACTGAAGTGTTATTTCAAAGAGATGACTGACTTCCCAAAGTACCAAAGAAATTTGGACAGAATTGATTTCTTAATTCTGCTTTTAAGATCATTAGTTTGCTACACTTCCGTATGCTTACCGGGAAAAGGATTAACTAACTAATTAACTCCACTTAATTAGGCATTTTACAAGTTTCTCTGGAATTTCCAGCATAATTTTCCTTCTTTGTTTTTCTTGTGATCACATTTTAGTATTGAATCAAGCTAGCTCTCATTCCCATTAAAAACCAATGGGACCTGGAGCTGTGTCAGTTCATTGAATGTCAGACCTGGCCCATCACAGATGCTTATTCACAATAAAAAGACAACCATCTATTCCAAGTTACCTAAACCAGATATTTTTTGAATAACTTTAATTTTTTTTTTAAACTGACTGAAAAGAATATCCAAGAAATCTGATGCCTTGCAATAGTTATGCTTCATCTTCTCAGGCTACCTAAAGAGTTTGTCAAGCCCTCTCAGACTCTCCAGGTGGTTCAAGAGGAGAGACACATGTGCCAGCCAAGAACCCTTGACAATTCCCAGGTCAAGCTGTTTGTTCCCTGAGACAGACTGAACAGAAGGAAACCAGAATTCTAGCATTGAAATTTCATATAGGCTCCTACAGTAACAGTTCACCAACTCCAACACCATAGAGAAACCATGCACCAAATTCCTTTCCTAAGTTCAGATAATGTTGTACTTACTCTTCTTCAGGATTTCTTTGCATTCAGGATTAATGGGGGGTGCATTTGGCTTAGACAGAGCGTTGGACAGAACCTCCACTATGCACCTGGTTACCTGGAAGAGACAAAGCAGGAGAGAAAATCCTCATGGCAAAAATGGAAACTTTACTTCTGAAACTTTCTACCAGCTGATAGAAAAGCCTGTTTGAGATTAGAGTTTAGGCTACTATTAATAAGTTTTGAGTAATCCTGTGAATTTGGGCTTTGCCCCTCACTCCTATACCAGTAGGAAGAGAACAGACAGGCCTTTTTATCTCCCCTTTTGTTTGTAGAAGTTAGAGGATTCTTTCGTACCTTCTTAAACATTAAATACTCTACTCAGTACAAAGCAGAGTCAAACAACATGCGGTAACACATCCTATAAAATAAAGAGACACAACACGCATTTAAAGGATGAGGATTATCCTGTAGAGTCTTTCCAAGTGAGGATACTGCAAAGGCAGTCTGGACTGCCAATACACTGAAACACCTCTACGTTCTCTGTATGGGATACACTCCACACTTTTTCACATGCATGTGCTCTAAGTCCTGCCTGGCTTTTAGCACTGAACATTCAACTGGATTGTCTGGAAGCAGAGAAAATTAACAAATTTAGGAAAGTTACACAATGTGCTCTAGTTTTAACCACTACCAAAGTATCTCCTCTGTATAAAATGATTTTCAAGTGCTGAAGTTGTTGGTGAGAACAAGTGCTCCTGTTTGCTGAGGGTACAAGAACCTCAGGCTGATGATCTGTGGGTATGACTGGGAGGAGACAATGAAACATTTATAGAGCCACTTGTCTTTTAACTATTTTTTGTTATTACCAGGTGTTTGCTGATCTAAATGATCACAGCAACAACCAGTGCAAGGGGTCTGGTGTCAGGTTAAAGGGTCTGGGAGCAGCTGATGGCATTTATTTAATAACACAGGGTAAGAGCTCCTTCCAAAGCAGGAGAGGACGGACTACACCAGAAGGTCTGTTACACAGTTGGAAACTGTAGGTATTTCATCTTTCCCCAAAGCTGTCAGTACAATGTACTGTGCAATCACTTTTCAAGCAGCTGTACAATGCAGAGCTCCACAAGTACCACACTGACACAGGAGCCAGCTCCCATTTACACCAAACACACTGAGGTGCAGGCAGGTATCTCCTGACAGCTAAAGGCACTCCCAAGTTCCACACCAGCCATGAGCTTTTAAAAATTTACCCTTAGGAAAAATAATGAAGCATTGCCCTAAGAGTTTAAAGAAACAGAGAATACATCACTGATATTTTCTGAGCTTGGTTTGACAAGCAGCTACTCACCGTTTCTTCAGTATGGTCTTTTTCCACTGGAACTGTGCTGGCACCTGGAAGAAAAATCAATTATTAGATACTCATTAATACAAGCATCACTGACAGGAGTCCTCAGTCAAATAGGTCTGATGAGACAGCTTGAGTTTTGGGTTGGCAGTCAACTAAATCAGGCACATTCCACATTAAATCCTTCCTTATTTGGATGGAAAAGCCATGTAAAATTGAGGCATAATATGAGAGAAGAGGCATGGTAACACTTGTAGCACTAAAATAATATACACCAAGAGTAATACCACCCACAATGAATGCAACACCAAAGAAAGCCAGGCTTAAATTCAAAAATGGAACTTTAATTCAAATCAGGTCCTTATGTAGTTGCACCTGTTTGATGGTAAAAAAAAAAAAAAAAAAAATCAAACCAAACAAACAAGCTTGATTCTTGGGTTTGCACCCCAAGTATCTTTCAGCTCCTTGAAGAAGCTCTAGGCGAACCCCTGCCATTAGCAGACCATTGTCCCAATCCTGCTGGAGAAATGCTGTCTCACTTGGAGGCAGCTCCTGGAAGGATGGAGAATGCCAGAAGGGACAGGAAAATTTCCATTCACTGAGTGATCCATTATCATTCCAAGATAAGCAAAATCCCCCCAAATCTCAGTGGAAAACTACTCCGGAAGGAAGCAGTACAACCCATCCCTCTCTCTGCCCTGAGGACACGTGGGATAACTCACACCTCCTTACAGCAGTTCTACTGTACCTGGGCCAAGGAATTTGCTTTTGGAAAGAAGCCATTGCCAATAAAACCGCTGTGCTGCCTTATTTTGTCATCACTGCTATAACGTCTCCAGCTGGTTAATGAGCTTGGTTGCTCTGTGTTAATAATAAATTGTGTCAATTCCCATCCACCTGGATATTTCCAGGAGTGAGGTTAAGCACCTCTGCCAGCCACACAGGAGTGTGTGGAAGCAGGGCCTGTTGAATCCTGCTCCTCACAGTACAGAATCACAGCACACAAACACATAGCTTGGGGTGCAGCTCTGAAGTCCTTACATAGGTCAGGAGAGTGTCCTAAATACAACCATGACCTCTCTCTGGCTGGGTCAGTGAGAGACCTCCTGAAATAGATGAACATCATGTAGATAAAGGAGGTCAATGTTACCTCTCAACATCAGAAGAATGAACACTGCCCCAAGGAAGAAAGGAGCATGTAGCCTTACACTATTTAAAGCAACACAACCTTTATTCTCTGTGCTGGCAGAGGAAGCAGACATCCCCTGGAGCACTGACTCAGAGTGTAACAGCTGAGCATCATACAATAATAACTCCTGATATTTCTGTGCTCTCCCCCAAACACATACGTAGGGATGTGCTTCTCCAGCCCCCATCCCTTCCCTGCATATACAAGTGCCATCAGATAAGGGAACCCATACAAGGAGAGCACAGAAGGGATTCCCCTAAAATAGTACTGCGTCCCTCCCCCAGAGTGCCAGGCGGTGTGTGAGGGGAGATGGTGCTGCACAGAGCCAACCCTATCCCCCATCTCTGGTGTTCAGTGCTGGCTGAGGCAGGCTCCGAGCTCCTTTACTAACCCAGTATGCAAATAATTACCACACTGCTGCAGCCCACCCTGCTGCATGCATGAAGGAGCAGGATGTACATACATGGGGGCAGGAAATAAGGCCCCTTCCACTAAAAAAAGTGTTATTCTTAAAAAGACATTATCTCAATCCCACAGTTGCAGGAGCTGCTCCCAGACTCCACTTACATGAAACCACAGGTATGAGCCCCTTCACTGCCTCTTTTTGGGGAGGCTCCCCTGCTCCTCCAGCCCCTGAGAAAACCTGACAGTCACGAGGGAAAACATGCTATTTTGTACTTTTAGTGACACAGCCACAGCACATCTCCTATGAGTGACACCCGGGTGATGTGATAAAGCACAGAGCAGACAAACTCCTGGACATATTTTCCTACTTCAGGCACCCCCTGAATGCTCTCAGTGGCACAGGAAGACAAAGTCAGGTTATACGCACTGCCTTTGCTGTGTCATTCAAAAGCTCACAAGAGCTTGGTCAATAGTGCAAGCCAGCATGAACAAAGAGGGAGCATCATAACAATGTCAGAAAACCAAATGGTATTGGACATATGTCATATTAACATGCCTGGATAAACAGAATGCGCCTCCAATCCATGCCAGAGCATGAAATAACACACTGAGGCAGCTGCTCTGCCAGGACTGAGCCAGGAAGGCAAGTGGGGAATCAGCAATGCCCCACTCTACCCAGGTATTGGCAGTGCCAGCCCACGCCAGCTGGCAAGAGCTCCGTTGGGGCCACCTGCCACCTGAAGGTGCTGGTCAATACGGCTGCCTCCCTCTCCACGTGTGCTCAGGAGGGGTGAGGCCATCACCCAGATAGGGGCAGCAGAGCACCCACCTATGAACTTGCAGGAACACAGCAGGCGGGACCACTGCAGGGTTCCAGAGAGAGAGCAAAGCCAGAGCACATGCCAGCATGGAAATCTGGCACCTGAACATACAGCAAGAAACAAACCACAGCCCCACTTAGTAAAGCTAAGCCCTGGCTCTGCTTTACCCTCCTGAACCAAGTCTGCCCAGGCAGTGACAATCAGATTATTTGATCTTGCCTAAGTGCTAAGAGTTGATGAATATCATGAAAAATAAAAAATGCACGATAAATTCACAAGGTTTTTGCTTGTATCTCCAAGATTAGAACAGATCTTTGGGTAGGTCCCTGATGAAATCCCCCCATGGCTTTCTTTTATCAGTGCAGATGACTCAGTGCAGTGTCATGCCTCATCAAAATGTCAGTGTCTTCCTAGGCAAGATCACTGATTTAGGCATACTGATTTGCAGGACTACTAGAAAGTTCTTGAAGTTAATGTTTAACCAATTCAACATTTGAAAGCACGACAGCCACAAAGGACGTGAAGAAGTACCTGATCTGTTTGATGGCATAAACAGGAAAAAAATATTTGGTAATAAACTCCCATAGAATCTACAGTAAAAGTGTGATGAGCTCTGTGTTGGGGTCTCTCCTCCCCGTATTCCACCCTCCCTCTTTGATCTCAATAAAGGCACTTGAAGACAGTCAACTTCCTCGCAGCCTTCGTACAAGTCCCAGAAGTGTGGAGACTTCTAACAGACCTAAAGCCAAAATACTCAACCCAGAATGATACCGACTCTTTCAAGCAATGATGTAAGTATGCATAAAACACTATAGAGCCAAGCCACCACCTTATTCTATTGTGTTTAAGGTTAATTTCACAGTGGAGTTTTAGTATTCAATGCCACGTGCAAAAAAAAAACCAAAAAAAACCCCCAAAAAAGAACAAAAAAAAAAAAAACAACCAAAAAAATCCTATTAGTTAAACCTGCAGAGCCACTGCTTTGCCATCACCTCCTAGCATCCAGCAGCGGCTGGCAAAACCCCAGTGGCACCCTTGCAATGAAAGGGCACCGAGAAGTCTTTGTGCAAAGATGCTGCACTGGGATAAAAATGAAGGCGGAGCAGCCGGGGAGCCCTCGCCCAGTGCCATCCGCACGCCCTGGCCCCACCGTCCCTTCCCGAGGGGCGACGCGAGCTGCGCGTCCCGCGCCCAACACCGCCTCCTCGCAGCGAGCCCCTCCATCCCCCCATCCCCCCCTGCGCCTGCCGGGGCTGTTCCCTGGCCGTTCCTCCCCTTTCCCAGCGCTCTCCCGGCAGGATGTACTCTCGCCCCGCTCACCTGCCAGGGCGGCGGCCGCCAGGAGGGCGACCAGCGCCCGCGGCCCCATGTTCGGCTGGGCTCGGCTCGGCTGGACTGAGCAGCTCCGGCGCGGTTTAAAAGGGGAGTGGGGGCGGAGGAGACGGGTGGGGGGCCTCGCCGGGAACTGCGTCACTGCGAACCCCCGGGGGCGGTGCCGCTGCCACCGCCCCCGCGCCCCCGGACCCGCTCGGCCCCGGCCGCCCCTCCCCTCCAGAGCTGGGCAACTTTCTCACAGCCTGGGCGAGCTGAGCTCGTTTCCCCTTCCTCGGCAACTACCGTAGCCTCCCTTCCCGACCCCCGACTAATACTTCCAGGACGCCTGTGCATCCCCCCCGCCCCGCCGTGCCTCAGGAACGGGGGAAAGCGGCGCTTCCCTGCCTCTTTCTGCAGCTCAGAGGATGCGGTATCATGCTTAGGTCTTGCCCACCGTCAGAGGATGCCGAGCCTCTGCCTAAGGGAGGAGGTGCGGTAACCTAACCCTTTTAAACATCTTCCACAAGAAATCACCGCCGCGCTTCCACATCCTTTTCCGATCAAAGCTCTTCAGGTGCTGCTGCAGCCTTTTCTTCCTGCAAGGTTTTTGTCCCTTCCCCTCCCCTCATTGCTCCCTCCTCTCACAGGCTCCCCACCAACCCGTATACAGTACACCCAGACCCAGAAAACGACTGGGAAGTAACTCCAGTACTTATGTCATCTGGGGAGGGAATGAACCGCAGTATTCCTCAAGAGTTCTACCGGGGAAATCACTGCTCTCAGCATTCATCTCCATAGGCAAACCTCTTATTTACTGTGACGATGCTCTGGGGAGCCCGAGGAAGTGTACAGAGACCAAGTTTTACATAGTTTCCTTTAACAGCCCCCGCTGTCCCAATTAGTCCTTAATAGAATAAAAAGCTAAATGACATGTGAAAACGAGGTCTCCATAGAGGAAGCCTGAATGTTCCACGCGGCTCCCTTCCGAGCCAGGCAAAGACTAGAACTCCTTTTGGTATTCATTATCCCTCAGAGGACCATCTTCAATTTTAGGTGTATTTTCAGTTTTTTTGTTTGTCTTCAGAGCCAAGCAGATGGCCCTCTAATTGCCAGTGTTGCTAGAGGACAATGGAGCTATACATCAAGTTGGCAGTTCCCTCTGTGATCATTCTGTGTGACTTTCTATTGTCCATTAACAATGGCAGGCTGCTACAACCACACAGCCTTTAAAGACAGAAAACGGGACACAAGCACAGCGCTCCAATCAAACTCACCAGCAACTTCATCGGTGCATAAAGGAAGCAGGAATCCCAGCTCC